TATTGGAAAAGTTCTTTGTATCAACGACCAATTAGAAAAATTACACTATATTATTGAACCCTCCATAAATTCCCGACACGCTAAGTTTACATATTATTATATTAAATCGATAGGTTTCAGGTGCGCCCTTAGGACAGGACAGCCAGGGTAACTGAAACTGTTATTAGATTAAAACCATTACAGAAACATCCAGACAGTGTGGTTCATTCACAAATTGATTGACGTAAATTGCTTGTGTTTCGAAACGGAAGGGAATATAATTGCTGACGTCTGAAAAACTATTTTGAGAGGATTCAATTTTACTTTTCTTTTAGTTGAGTAATGCATAACATTTTGAGCAAAAATAGGGCAATCTCAATGTCTTCAATTAACATAAATAGCCATTGTTCTACTTTGTATGCGGTGTTTTATTTCAATTGCAAGGATAATTGAATTAGATAGGGATTTCTGCATCGCATAGGTTTTAAAAGGAGAAATTTCTTCAAAATTTAATTAAAATATTTTTAAAGGAAAATTCTATAAAAGGAAAATCTTTCAGGAAGCTGATTAAAAGGAAAGTGTAACTACCATAAAAATAAGATTAAAACAGAAGAATCTTTTAATTGTTCATTCAAGGAAAAAAAAAGCCAATTAATCAAATATCTCTCTATTGAATCAACTTTTTTATAGACACTTATCTATTGTCTCGAAGCAACAATTAGGTATCAGAAATGATGTTTTTCCTGTCGTCAGTTTCATTGCAGTTGTGCAATTATTAATAATTAACCATTATTCATTAAACGATGAATCCCAAGATCAATGAATTATTGATCTAATTTGAGTTGGGAATTGCTACCTTTTCAAAATTTCACATTCTATTAATTCAGAAGCCATTTTTTTCGTGCCTGTTACCTACCGTCATTATATGTTAATTACATCACCCATAAAATAAATTTGGAGGCCAAAAACAATGCAAACAATAGCTTCCTCGCCCATTGACTGGGTGACGGTTGTGAGAAATTGGTTGTTTATGGGTTTCAAAAGAAACCTATCCCGACTGTCTAATTATTTCAAGGTTGGATTCAACCTTCGACGACTTGTTATCCAAGAGAAATTTGCAAAATAATTTGTTTGTATGACATCATGAGTGATTGTTTTTGAAAAATTTTGTTCCTGATATTAAAATATCAAATAAATTCATAAACTAAGTACTCAGCAAAGTGTAACTATGCTCAACAAAAAACATTTACTAGTTTTATGGCCGTTTCCACCAACTATTTCAGGGGAGCCTTAAAGATAAGTATTCCTTAAATTGACAGTCTTCCATGGAGAAATGTCAGTATAGTAAAGCTTACTTGGAAACTTTAGAACGACATAAGGTAGGTACCTACTTTCAAAGAAGCTGAAACTAAATTATCAAAAAAGAAGGAAAACTAGTGGTAGGTAGGAATAAATATAGTATATCTAATATAAGTACAGTACAGGTTATTTATTAGATCCATTAATCTTATTCCAGGTCAAGCCCCCAAGTTCTAAAACAATTTCAATACTTTCCGTCCATTTATGATCTATAAAATGGTAACGCATAGGGCTTTTATTAATTTTAAAATTTGAATTTATTACCAACACTTCACCCAGTTTACTTACTTTCATTCTCGTTGATTAAAGTTTAACTGAACGATTTGCCTTGAAGATAACCTGCTTAAGATAAGAATGAAAATGGGCCATTTTATGAGTGCTTATCGTGTGTTAGTTTCCTCTGCAATAAAATGCGTTACTGTCTTATTTACCTCATAGCAATATGAACAAGGTCCTCCAACTTTGGACATGATGTCAATGACAATATCCGCGTTTTCTTCCGAACAATGTCCACACAACATTTTTAGTAAACTTTTCACACACTATAAGAAAATTCGTATCAAAATCAACAGCCAACCGATAAAGATAATTATAAAAGAAAATTATGTTGTAAAACTGGTCCGGAAAATTCGCATGGGAAATGAGAAATTCGCTAAACAGAAACGTACATAGCGAACTGCAAAGTTAGTTATATTTTAGTAGAACTTCTCATTTTAATTTTAGAACGTTCATTGATTTGCCGAAATCAAGGAGATGTGATGCAGTAAATCATCATTATAAATAACTACATCAGTATAGAGGTAACAAACCAGATGTGTTTTGTAAGGTATAACTTGAAAATATTTCTTATTACCTATATTGTCTTGTCTGAAAGTTATTGTAAATCAAAGGATTCACAATGACAAAGATTGCTACAAATTGAGTCAAAATCACTTATTATTGAAGGAGAAAAAAATAATTGACGGTACTGTAGGTATGTTTTCAGATTACTCTCTATCCCTAATCCACATTGATGTTAAGGTTTTAGAATATTTCGATGAGCTAATGTCTGGTTTACTTGTGGTCTTTTTGTTTCCTGCACAAGTTTGTAAAGTAGTTTTATAGGGTACAATTGATTCTGGAAATAGAGTTTCCGGCTAATGAAGGTCTGAGTAAGGATGTATGAGATTCTGTTACTATAAGTAGTGTAATATTATACTTAGAATTATTAATATATGGTAATTGATTGATTTGAAAGCTATTTAAACTTAAGCATGATTTTTTGTTTACTCCGAAGCTTGTAAATGAAAATTTTCCAATTGTTCAGCTAGAGTTTCATCAGTAGTTGAAGATTGGCCATTTTCGTCATATTCAAATATTTAATTGTCTGAATTATCAAATTCAGTGTTGTCTTTAAAATTATTCTCATGTACATGAGTTAATTCTTGAAACGTAAAGTTAAGAGGTTTCCCTGTTGATTGAAAAGGTTTTTAAGTATGTCCAGTTGACATATTTTTCCTGGGTTGAACGCTTACACCTGACATTGGTTGAGGGTAAGTTTGTTTAGATGTTGATTGATTTTTATTAGTCTGATTTATAGGTTTTAACAATTTTTATTTGTAAATTTTCAATCTCAAATATCTCGGTAACCAAAAGCGTTATTGAAACAACATTTCCAAAAATTGTAACTCTTGATGAGGGCTTCAAGATGGTGTTTAGTTGAAATCGCTAACATTTACAGTTTTTGAGAAAATAGAATTTGAAGCTTTGGACAAAATGTGGACTAAATTTCAACATTGAAGCCTAATATCTTGGAAAATCTACAAGCTACAACAACCAATTTTGCACGGGCTAATAGAGAATTTAATGCTATTTCCAATGATATATAGTTATTATTAATTTGCTCGCGAATAATCGAAGAACAATTAAGAAATTTCAGATTTATTTTAGAACAATTAGGATTCAATTTTAGAATTATTTTGAACCAACTTAGAACACTTATTGGAGCTTCAATAGGACTCCAAAATACTCAAAAATCTATAAGAACGATTTAGAAATCACTGAAAAACTTCTAGAATGCTCTAGAACCCTTCAAGCCAAGTTAGAACACTTAAGAAAGAATAAGCCATTTGGAACACTTTCCAGCGACATTTTGAACAATTCATAAACCTCAACATTATTTTAGTTAGTTCGAAACTAACCGAATATAAGTACTGATGGTGACGTCATCGTAGCCTGACTGCAACTTCACTGTACTTGTTGCGCCAACTATATCAAATGTCAAAAAGTTGTAAATAAAATCGTCCTTTTTGGAGATGCCGGGCTGCAATCAACAGGTCTTTGCTGTTTTTCCGGATTTTCCTCAGAATTTTTCCGCAAATAATGAATTTCAATACGTGAAATATGTTGTGATAGTGAAAATGAACGTTTAGCTGCAGTTTGATGTAGTTATTTACTTGGTAAGCGCTCTAATTACTTTTTAATCTGTCTTGGCATCATGGTGGCGTATCGTGTAAATGTTTCGTGTACGGTCACCATCTTGTCGTGCTCTAAGAAATTATGCCCCCTTTTCTGCCCCTGAACTTTTTTGCGGTTCGCCGCTGGTAGATTTTAAGAAACAAAATAATTTTTCTACGTTATTTATAAACTTTTTGTGCTCCTCTAGCATGGGCGAAGTTAGGGGGGGGCTTGGAGGGTCTAAGCCCCCCCAAAAATAATTCGCACTTCATCACACACACACATAATAGAAAATAGAAATTACAAAAAACCAAACATACTAACACCTATTTTCTATTTTTTTTCTCAATTATCATACTTTAACTAATCTGGGTAGGTATGTGCATTTAAACATTTTCGGTTCAATCTCAATGTTAATGTTAGTTCAATATTATTTGTACTTTCAGAAATAAACAATAATTTGTTTATTTTTTGAAGGCTCAGAACGCCCAAAATAGTTCATTTTGTGGGTCGAAATGAACGTTTTTGGGCGTGGCACCCCAAAATTTTTATTGACTCTGGCGGCGCTTGCGGCGGGCCTTCCCCTCCCCCTATGGGCTTGGGGCTGTAGCCCCCCCCCAGATCTGATGCCCTAACTTCGCCCATGGCCTCTAGTTTTTTCGAACCACCGGCCCTTATCGAGAAAAAAATTAAAAAACAAATCTCTGTAATTTGCTAGATGAAATTACACTGACTCAATAAACTTTTTCTACCTTACAGTGGCGACAATAGAGGTCTCCGCCATATTCTTGCTCATTTTTAATATGAATACGTTAAAATTTCAACACCCTGTGGATCGGTAACGAAGCGTATGCGGACCTATGCTTATTAGAAACTTTAATCATAAAATAAACCAAAGAATCACCCCCTTCTTTTTGTACATGATATTTAGGAACACCCTGTATTGACAATCTCAGAAATCCAACACCGAATGTCTGCAAGTTAAAATTGTTTGTGGTGTTTGTATGCATGTTCAATTTATAATTTTTTGAATAGAATTAACGAATTGATTACCTATAATAAATGGATGTATTTTCTACCTACATATTTTGTAAAACCCCTACTTTGAGACTTCATCATTAGTTGAAAGCTCTTAAAGTAACTAATATGGGGTTCAATAAAAATCCACGAAATAACGGAAATTAAATTATTTTATTAATTCATCAAAACTATTAAAACCTTTCACTTTCGTTAATATTACATTAATAAGAATAATTTATTCAGAAATTTCAAAATTGTTAGGACAAAGATAACAATAAAACTTATTACGTCACTCGACAATGTAAGTCAATTAAGTATGTAAAAATATCAAATTATTTACCTTTTCAGAGAAATTTAAGTAAAAACTGTAGTCAACCTTCTTAAATTTCCTAAAATTATGGTAATAAATAATATCAATGGAAGACTTAAATATTAATAATTTTACACAATATTTTATACAATAAAAAGTACCTGACAATAGATACTAATATAAATACATAGATTTTCATTTTTGTGTGTCGTGTTTTCAGTCTTTATTCATAAAACAACCCACTCAAGGGGACGTTTAGGCAGGCACAATTTCTACATAAGTTGCCGGAAATATTCCAACGTTGCCATTGCATTCACCTAACCACCAACCATCATCTTGTTGCCGATAAACCTTTAAAAAAAAAAACAAATTGTAAGTAAATGCACGTGGATTTTAGGACAAAATAATAAAAATCTACGTTTCAAGATGTGTCTTCTGGGATTCCCTTAAGTATTTTTTGCTGTTATCCTTCTCCATGCTAGTCCTGTTGCATTCTATCTTCAAAGTTGCTGTTTTCTATTATACCACCTGTCGCATTGTATGTCCAGATAAACTCCATATCGGGAATGAGTCTAATTTCTTACAAAATTCTTACCTTTAATATGTCACCAGCACTCAAAGTTAATTCGTCAGCTAAATTGGGCGTGTAAGCGTAAATGGCTCTGCATTTGGCTATGGGATGGACGTTTTCTGTTTCTAGATGGTCTGTGCTGCTGCACTGAGATGAAAATTCATCTGAAATTAAAAAATGAACTATTTCTGACAAATCATTTAAAATCATTTTACCAAAATCTGAATCGGGTTGATTTGAATTGCCATCAGCAGCGCCCCTATGGTTCCAATCGTCCAGTATGTGGTCATCCACTTCATTGATGTGCGGATCAGAATTGTCGGATTTTTCTGATTTCAGTGATTTTTCACTGATAGGACTGCGATCGGTTTCGAAAAATTCTTCCCTTAACCATTGAGGAACCTTGAATATTAACAAAATTTAATTAAACCCTATAGTAATTTTTGAGTCAAATTACCTTTAGCACGCTCTGTTGTAATCCAGATTTATCTCTAGTGACAGTGATGTGGGGTGCTAAGGGATGGCCAGATCTAGGCCTACTGTCCAGCTCTGCCAGAGCGCTTTGAACTTTGTATCTGGCACCTTCGAGATAAGTTAGCATTGATTTCATCTAAGAAAAATGGAGAAATAATATCAGTTAACAGATTTGTACAATTCAGTATCTGAAGGCCTGACACCATATTTTTCCCAAGTACTTAAACAACGATAACCCCTGCAAGACCTTGACACGATCGGCGGTTCTCAGGGAAAGCCATTGCGGAATTCTGTAACGAATAGCGATATTTTCGCTATCTCTATTGACGTTCCCTCTCTATTGATTCCGAAAAGAGAAAAGGACACAGCAAGTGCCATAGCAATATCGATAACGATCTCTATCCGTTACAGAATTCCGCCTCTGGGGAACCGCCACTCAGGTCCAAGAAGCATCTCAGCCCAATCCAAGATGTCAAGCGACCCGTGTCGATGGGAAAGCACCGTCGCAAACGGAGCCTCTAGGAAACCAGGCGTCATCCCGGAGTTATCAGCTTTAGCTCCATTTTCCAGACTCCACTGAACGAAACCCATCGAGCCGCTTTCCATAATGGAGCGAAAAAGGAGGACTGGGAACTTGCTAAAAAACCGCTAACTTACAATGGCATTCCTACAAGAGGCGGTGGACCTTGTAGCATTACACCTCTGCAGGCTGTGCAGAGCCAGCCTGGCAGCAAGCTATATTCCTGGGTCCTGGAGAGAAGTAAAAGCGGTCTTTATCTCTTTATCACAAAACCTAGCAGAGACCCATTTCAGATCAGGTCATATAGACCGATCAGCTCATCGTCCTTTATGTTAAAGGTGAGAGAGAAACTATATAAACCAATGGGTGTATAGACAACACCAAACTTACTGGCAAACTTTTCCGAAGGTCAGACACAGTAAGCTAATGGTACCATCACCTAAACTTACTGAAGAGATCCTACAACTAAACAGAAATCAAATCAGGCTAATAACTGGACTTATAACTGAACACTGTAGCCAGAGAAAACACTTTCACACAGTGGGCATCCTCCAAGAAGAACCTAATATGCAGACTTTGTGACGAGTAGGATAAAACCGCCATCTACGTAGTCTTCGAAAGAAAGGCTTTACGCTGGTGGAGTTACATAATTTTTTATGTAGGTATCATGGTACAGGTATGGGTCGCTTATGTTTAAAAAAAAATTGTGATTTCTTCGGTGGTTTAAAAAGACCTTGGAATTATTTGGGATTACCCGAGATACGATTTCTACTTACATGATATAATTTTTCCACTACGGATTGTTGAGAATCTTCCGTACCAAAGTTTGGCGTTTGTTTTATGGCTTTCGATAAATTTTCCAAACCATTTTTCGATTTTCTTTCTCTGTCGATGTCTTGCCGGATCAGGTGCAGTAACTTTATCAATGCCTAAAAAAATATAACCATTAAGGTACCTATGTATAGGTTTTCTAAGGTACCTATCTAATGAGTATAATAATTTTTGATGTAATATGTTTTTTTTTTCTAGTTTTGTCTTTTCACGTTATTAAGTTTTTTAAGTCTGGTAAGTAAATTTTAGCCCCACGTTGGGCGCCAATTAATTTGCCACACAGGAAATTCCAGTATCCAAAATCATTTTTTTAGTAAAAAGGTTCACTTTATACTCGATCACCCTGTATGTATACTTGAATTAAAAATATATCTACGGTATATGTATAACCACAGATAACCATGTAACAGGGTATGCAAAACCGAATTTTCGCGGCGAACTACTCCCATGCTTTCATGAATACAAACGTTTTCGCGAGGAACTCATGACGTCATATTGAACGAAGTTTGCCGGAAGCATGGACGCAACTTCCACCAGCGTTCAAACCCATGACGTCACAAGACGAATTATTGATTCGTCGCGAACACAGACCAGTCACGTTCTAAAGTCATAAATAAATCAATCAGTGATTGACTTGATTTTAGTGTGCATGCGCAGATAATAGGCCTATTTTCGTGATAAAGTGAGTACTTTACGCAGGGTAGTTTTTCCTATTTTCCTGATAACAATGACATCTTGTTGATAACCATGACGAATCATCGTTTTTGTGCCTGCACTACTTGCTCAGAACAATGACATCGCATGCTCAGAATAACGATACACAACAAAATTGAAAGGTGCAAAAAATCCGTAGAAAAATCTCATAACTGACATTTCAGGTGCGTCAAAACTCTACTGACACTAAAATAGCAAATGACAGAAAACATGAATCAATCAATCTTATTCACTTTTTTATTGATAAAATTCCAGTTAGTCCTATTGGAAGAACTCTGTTACGTTAATAAGGCACGTATGATAGGCGGAAGACCTTGTCCAACAAAACAATTCAATTTCGTGTTACAATTACAAGGAACTCTCCAAGATGGTAAAATGTCAAAATGTGCAGCGTACTTGATTGAACCGACATGGGCACTGACTGCAGCTCACTGTAAAACTCCTGGAGCTACAGACTTTCAAATTATAGCACCTGCAAGTACTGAACCAATAAACGTTACTGTTAAGAAGTTCCATATACATCCAAAGTGGAAGAACGATACGATTGACACGAAATTGTTGAACGATATAGCTTTATTGAAGTTGGACAAACCTTTGGACGATAAGAGTGGATTTGTAACCCTTCCCAGCGCCGATACTTCCAAAAGGTATTGCAAAGAAGGTCTAGGTACCACAGTAGGATTTAGACAAGAAAGAATACTGGAACTTATGTGTGGCAACCTTAAATTAATGGGTTTTACTGTTTGCCAGGACAAATTAAAAAACATTGTAATAAACAGAAAGCACCATATTTGTTCCTTCTCTCCATATTTGCAAATGGAACAATGTGATTCAGGGGGTCCCCTCTTTTGCGCAAACGTTTTAGTTGGGTTGGGTACTTTTTTGCCAAGAACGAAAGATAAGCCCGCTGTTTATACCAAAGTTCAAAATCATTTGAAATTTATTCGACAACTAGTAGATTCTGCCGAATTTGATACCTCTCGTTCTATCGACTTTAGCCATAGTAAAACAGTGTATGGTTGTTTTGTTTTTAATCTAGTAGTTTTTGTGTTTTTTTGATTATGAATGATTTTTTAAAATTACAAGTAGTTAAAGTACATATATGCACAAATATTAATTTGTAAAACAAAAAACAAATACAGTTAAATGTTATAACTAGAGACAGTAGTTTAAATAAAGTTGTTCTGTACATAATGAAATTTCTAAGCCTGTATGCCCGGTGAATGGAATATGAAAATATGGAATGGAAAAACATTTCCCCTCAATGAATAAATCCATTAGAACAGAATATTTATAGAATATGAAGCCTCCTACTAGGTATACATATACAGGGTGTCCCAGGGAAAACAGTCCACCCCGATTTATTGGGTTTGTGATGAGAATCTGGGAAAACGCCCGGACACGTCGATGTTTGATTTGAGGGGGAACTATTTTTCAGTATTTTTCATCCCCGTAGCTTCAACCCCCTAGCTAGGGGGAGAACAACCCTCCAAATTTGAATAGGGAATAGGGGTCGTGTCATACCTCTTTTTAAAGGTCTCATCGAGTTTTTTATGGCCCTAGAATTTCATCTTATTATTTCCATCCATAACAAAATGACAGCTTGTCAAAATCTTGGAAATAGACTATTGTTTTAGTAGAAGTAAAGTGGTACTTACCCCCTTAATAAAAATACGTGTGAAAATACCTACAATTTACAATTCTCGTGTACACCTCATTAATATTAATAACAAAAAACTCCAGTTTCAAGTATTTTTATCAAGGGAGGTAAGTATTGCTTTTACTCCCACTAAAACTAATAGCACTCTATTTCCAAGATTTTGACAAGCTGTCATTTCGTTACGGATGAAAATAATGAGACGAAATTTTAGCGCCGTAAAGAACTCGATGAGACCTTCAAAAAGAGGTATGACACGACCCCTATTCCCTATTCAAATTTGGGGGGTTGTTCTCCTCCTAGCTATGGGGTTGAAGCTACGGGGATGATAAAGACTGAAAAATAGTTCCCCTTCAAATAAAACATCGACGTGTCCGGGCGTTTTTCCAGATTCTCATCCCAAGCACCATAAATCGGGGTGGACTGTTTTCCCTGGGACACCCTGTATATACTACTGCTACCCTACACAAGATTAAGTTAAAAAGAAAATCCTACAAGATCAGATATTAGTAGGTATTTCAGATATAAAATTCAAGTTTTTTTACAAACTCTGTGATGGTTCTTAGGTTCTTACCTGTTTTCGCCTTTCCCTGTTCATAGCCAAAGTAATATGTTCGCAATAAAAATCTGGTAAGAGTTGTTCGGAGACTTGCTGAGATGTTTGCCTCATATTCTGGAAAGCTACTAAATCTTTTGTCGGTTCCGTCATTTCAATTGGCGCTTTCAGTCTTTCGGTGGCCTAGGAATTCAAATACAGATAAAAGTATTATAAGAGATCAATGATCCAAAATCAATGTGCTAATTAGATTGCAGACAGAATTTTTATATATTTTGTGTATTAATAATGAGCTTCCTTTGAATTGACTTTTTCAGGCAAAATTCAGCCTCTTACATTTTAATTTTTTTCTGGGAAACTGGCAAAAGGAAAATTGTGAAAATTTTCCAGAAAAAAGAGAAAAGTAAAGAGCTATTATAGCAACATTTTAAAATTTTCCAATGAAAAATCACTCCATATAAAATTCTGGAAAATTGACTTATTTAAGCAAAATTAAGGAAAATTCATCGACTTACATTTTAATTTTTATCTGGAAAACTGGCAGAGGGAAAACTTTGAAAATTTTCCAGGAAAAAGAGGAAAGTGAGGAGCTCATTATAGGGAAATTTCGAAATTTTCCAGTGGGAAATCATTCCAGGGAAAATTCTGGAAAATTGACTTTTTCAAGTAAAATTAAGGAAAATTCATTTTCTCACATTTCAATTTTTTTCTGGAATACTGGCAAAAGAGGAGAGTCAGGAGCTCATTATAAGATTATTTCAAAATTTTCCAATGGAAAATCGCTCCAGGAAAAATTCTGAAAAAATGACTTTTTCAAGTAAAATTAAGAAAAACTCATCCTCCCACATTTCAATTTATTTCTGGAAAACTAATAAAGCAAAACTTGTGAAATTTTTCCAGGAGAAAGAAGAAAATGAGGTGCTCATTATAGGAAAATTTCAAAATTTTCTAGTGAAAAATCACTCCAAAAAAAATTTTGGAAAATTGAGTTATTCAAGCAAAATTAAGAAAAATTCACCCTTTCACATTTAAATTTTTCTTTGGAAAACCGGCAAAGGGAAAGTTTTGAACATTTTCCAGGAAGAAGAGAAAAGTGAGGGGCTCATTATAGGGATATTTCGAAATTTTCCAGTGAAAAATCACTCCAGGAAAAATTCAAAGAAAATGTACTTATTTAGGCAAAATTAAGGAAAATTCACCCTCTTACATTTCATTTTAATTTTTTCCTGGAAAAATTGCAACGAAAAAATTTTGAAATCTTTACAGGAGAAAGAGGAAAGTGAGGAGCTCATTAGAGGTAAATTTCAAAATTTTCCAGTGAAAAATCACTCCAGGAGAAATCTATTTATATATTTTCAGATAACTGAATAAACTCTATTCTAAGTTAAAAAATGTATTACAAAACGATAATTCCGAAGGTGCTCTATGAATTAATTAATCTATGACTTAACTTTTTCTCTAAGTAATGACGTAAGTAAAAACCTTCGTGCCGTGCAACGAACTATATGTTTGTTTGAAATTTCGAAATTTTCCAGTGAAAAATCACTCCAGGAAAAATTCAAAGAAAATGGACTTATTTAGGCAAAATTAAGGAAAATTCACCCTCTTACATGTTAATTTTTTCCTGGAAAAATGGCAAAAAAAAATTTTGAAATATTTACAGGAGAAAGAGGAAAGTGAGGAGCTCATTAGAGGAAAATTTCAAAATTTTCCAGTGAAAAATCACTCCAGGAGAAATCTATTTATATATTTTCAGATAACTGAATAAACTCTATTCTAAGTTAAAAAATGTATTACAAAACAATAATTCCGAAGGTGCTCTATGAATTAATCTATGACTTAACTTTTTCTCTAAGGTATGACGTAAGTAAAAACCTTCGTGCCGTGCAACGAACTATATGTTTGTTTGAAATTTCAAACATAAAAAAAAAAACTATTTTTCAAAAAAAAAGGCAAATGATGACGTAAGTACAAACCCTCGTGAAACTAACTTTTCTAAAATTTCTCCTTTCCATCAAACCCCATCAAAAAAAAAAATAATAATTGGAGTTGCTCTTATGACTCTAAAACATCTTAAAAATAGAAACTCTAAACCATTATTATTACCTCTACTATCCTAGGCTGTAGTTCACTATTATGTCTCAGGTAAGACAACAAAATTAACTTCAAATTGTTCAATCTCTCCTCTTCCAGTGATTGAAAGGTGTTCACTCCTCTTAATACTGACGATTCCCATTCTAATCTAGAAGAATATTTTGAAATATTATTACATATGTGGTGCTTAATTAATAATTCAACGTATTTTTCCCTTATCGGTAAATGAACCAAATCTCGCCATTGGGATCTTTTTTATTTAAAATTACCGCACGAGTCATTTTTTCAACATAATGACGTAATTACCCGAGTTGAGACAGCTGAAGTAAAGGTGCAACACGGGTTCTAGCCAAAAATCAGTCATTTTCCCATGTAAATCTCCATAAGAAAATCTGACTGACTGACCAGTTAGTGGAACCGATGAAAAACACGGGCACTGGAAAGGGAGCGTTTCTTATTCCTGGAAATTTTAACCCCTTTTCAAAATGGAACAAAAATTGCCATAACGGACCTTATAGATTTTCTTATGAAGATTTACATGAGAAAATGATTATATGATTTTGTGCTAGAACCCGTGTTGCACCTTTACTAGCTGACAATCCATTTGGGTTTCACTACAAGAAAAATTAACTACACATCGCCAATGTTTGATTTATTTCACGATCAGATGGGTTTAGAGTAGAGACCATCCTTGATGTCTAATAGACTATTAGTAGGTCTTTCCTCTATTCCAGCAACAATATCTAACAATGTTGAAACAGGTCCTTACCTTGCCCTTTCAGCTCTAACACACAAAGTATAGTATTCGATATCGGCTTTTTTCACAGCATCTTCTGCTTTCTTCTTTTTGCCTTCCAACTAGAAAAAAAAAATTCATTCAAGCCGCAAATCACAAATAAATTTTAAATTTCGTGGTTTCATTTGCCTAATGTAGCGGCAAATTCAATATTAATCTGGCCAGCTTTGTGTTTGTAATATCTAAATATATTAAGTTGAAAAAAAAAAAACAATTTGTTGGATGATTTAATTCAAATTATATAATCCTTACTTTTGCATTCTCTTTGTCCACCGAATTTTGCCTTTGGGCCAAATGTATAAGACTGGTACTTTTTGATAGCCTAAAAATGTATTATAGTTGAAACAAAGAAATCATTCATATTCAACTAAAAATCATTACGTTTGTTTTCCAAATTTTGTAGTATCAATTACTGCAGCATCTTGAAGTTTCTCATTGTCTCTTGCACAGACATGACTATGTTTTTTCCCTTTCGCCTCAGCTGCTCTCCAATCCCCCAATAATCGTGCAGCTTTGTCGACTGCATTCTCGCACTGTTTTCTTGTTCTGTGTTGGCTTTCACTCAAATTCCTCAAAGGCTTCGCGGTCTCCTCCAAAAGTGCACTTCCAGCTATTCTATGAGCTTCGGCTTTAGCTTCCAATTCGATCGCTACAATTTTCCAAGCTTCGTTTAGGCCTCCGACACCGTCCCTGCAAGCTTTGGATAGCTTCAGGCTGAGTTTCGACAGGCTTTTGGCATATTGGGTTTCAGCTTCAGCTCTAGAAACGATTAGTTTTGGAAAACAATAACGTCTTGGAAAAAAAATTATACCTTTCTTGTAATATAGAGGCGACTTCTTTGCAAAAATCTCCTCCTTGTTTGACGTATCGTCGTAAGTCCTCGAAGCCGTTTTGGCCCTGAAACAAGAGAATAGAAAATTATTTATGGTACAATTTTTTTTCTTTTTGGAATTTCAAAGGTTGATATTTTAGTAAGTCTAAAAATATTGAAGTAGAAGTTTGAAGTTGTTACGAGTCTAAAAGCGACAAGGGGAAGCTAAGGGAGAAAAGAGTGAAGGGAGGGATATGACTCTTGAAGGTGGCCTAAAGAAGAAATCCGACGTATAGGGAAGCTCCGACTAGCCCACAAAATACCGGTGAGTGGGGTCTGATTGTCGCTTTTAGACTCGTAACAAAATTGGCGCCCAACGTGGGGCCACCTGTTTTCAACCCTGCAGTTAGTCGGTTTCTCAACGAAAGATATTTCAAAACAGGAAACAGCTTAGAGCAACTAAGAATCAAATCAACACCAAAGAAATGAAGGTTTAAATGCGATCATCTTTAACTGAAGTCCTTTAGGATTGGAGAACTCGTGATCGCACCGCAATCTGAAAAGAACTGAAAATTCTAAATGTCAAAAATCAGCTGTATAGGGAAAATGAAAGAAAATCACTGAATATTAAATCGTATGGTTTTGTTTATCTATCTTGCTTGATTTGCTCCATTCAGGATTTAACAATGATGTTTATCAGTTTAATTTAAAAAAAAGAAGGTATTTTGGCATAATTATCCATACCCAATATGTTCAGTATCAAAAATAACCTTAGACTTAAAATAAATTCAATACACAATCAAATACGTTGCTTGCCCTCGAAATAGGCCTATTTTCCCGGTTTACAGAGTGCCTTTCCTATTTGAGGTTAAGCCTAAAACTTATAATAAGAACATACAAGAATAAATAATAGGTAATAACTCCTATAATTCAAAACAAAATACCAAAGTGTTTATTGGTAATTAAGGCCTCTATCTGGCTATACATTATTCTGATTGTTAAAAACCCTTGGTATGCCGAACAATACTTATGATGGTAATAATTACGGGGTGAGTATTTCTTCTGACCCCAGAGCTTCACTAACCATCTGATTTCAGGACCCAGGACAACAGACACATGTGACCCAACTAACTTACAGGGCGTTCCTTGATTGTTTATTGTTTGCAAGTCTTACAGCGACCCAGGAATCTACCTGACGTGGAGTGAGGATCGAGAGTCCTCCCCAAATCTTTTTGGTGGTTAGGGATGTTCTAGCAACTAGGGGGGGGAAGGCCGACTGGAGTGGTTCAGAAGATACCTCTGGAGTACTGGGGGTTGTTGGGCAACCGGCACTCGTGTATCGGATGAAAACAAGGCCTCCATAAAGGGGAAGAATGAAAGTGAAGAGAGACTAAAGGAAAAAAAGGCCTAAAAAAAAAGAAGATTTTCGCGCATGGTAAGCAAATAGCAAATATAATAAAGAAGTATTCTATAAGAACTCATTGTAGAACTTATCCGAAAGAAGAATAACAGAAAATGAAAACTTACCAAAATACTTTGGCCTTTTACAAACACAGTATACGAAGAAAAACGGCTAAATTTGAGACTTTAACCCTTTACAACTCACACAACCAAATCTGCCTATAGTGGCACTGTAGTGCTATAATCTCAGCAACCCACAATTGGGAGTTAGGGCTCAAACTTATTTTTGGTTTTAGATCAGCAAAAACGCTTAGAGGAAACTCTCAACGTGCTCTTGAAAGCTGCCCTCTTTTCAACCAAAAAAAAAAACTATTTTTAATCCTCTCTTTTCCAGAAAAAAACCTTGAGGAATTTCTACAGAATCTATTGGGGGACACTGGTACTGCTACTGACTGAATGCCTGGTACCCGGCAAATAGAGGAAACTGTAATGGTACAAAGGAAGGTAGTACGGAAATCTGTAATAGAACCATCGGTACTATAAAGCAAGTGTAGGAATCTGTAATAATATGTAATAGGATATAAATAACCACAATTATTGTTAACTGGTACTGAAAAATAGCGAAATAAAAACTGTATAGGTGAAATGACAACTTAGTAATAAATTTCTAAATCGGGATACTTTTACTTGAGAGGGAAAAATAATCCCGTAACAAGAAATAGTTTGCTGTTTGCTCGATTGCAAATGTCCATGATATTGGGAGACCAGGAAAGAACAATAGAGACCAGAAAGCCATGACCGGTATGCTGCTGGACACAGGACAACACAATACCATTGATGGAGTAATCTGTTTGTGGGTTTTTCTTTCCGAGATGCAATACGACACACTTGCCCACATTTAGGACAAGTTACCAGTCCTCACTCCACTCATAAATCGGTTAAGGTCTTCCTGGAGAGCAGCAGGACTGTAGATCTTTATGTCATCAACATAAGGGTGTACAAAAGAAAGAGCAGTAGTGTAAGCACTGAACCCTGCGGCACTCCGCTTAGCACTAGGTGTGGCTCGGAAAGAGAGTTAGCAACTCTGACTTGGAAGTATCTGTCTGAGATATAATCCCCGTCCCCAGTCCAGCAAGTTGCCCCTCATCCCAAAATGCTCCAATTTCATTACGAGTCTCCGTGCAGGCACCCTTTAGCAAAATCAAGATAGATGATATCTACTGGCATTTTTTGGTCTAGAAGTCTGGTCCAGTCATTGAGACATTCCAGGAGACATGTAGTTGGAGTGCGTTTCAAAATCAAGCCATGCTGTTCTGAAGTTGCAAAGTCTCTGACATAGTCTATGATCTATGGACTCAAACATTTTGCCTATAATAGATAAGCTTGTGACCTTTTTATAGTTGGGTGTGACTGACTCCCTCTAAGAATCAGTTGGAAGTCTGATTTGCTGAAAGGACATGTTCATTATGTTATCTAGGGGGTGCAGAAGGCTTTCTGCATATTTTTTGAGCTAGTTGTTTTGAAAAATTTAATTTCTGTTATGTATACTGTATTCGTATACTTTATGGTTTGGGCTACAATCTGGTAGGTACAGTCCCTGTCTCTATTATTGTATAATATGATTTAGACTTATAATTGAGTGTTTCATGATCGTAACACCTGTGACTTATGGAAATGTATAAAATTTCTATTATACATTGGCGCCCAACGTGGGGCCTTTTCAACTTTTTCTGTTTTGGTTATGTTGTTGTGTGTTCTGGGTGTCCCAGCCGAGAGTGACCCATTTTAAATGCCTATAACTTTTAAACCAGGTGTGCTAGCTACCTGCGGTTTGCGTCATTCGACTTCTCTTTGCCTAAAATTTTTTTCTAGTAGGTTGCAATTTTTTTTGCCTCTTATACAAGGCGAGTGAAAAAAATCCGCTTTTCAACATCGAATTTCTCTACTATTTTTAATGGAACGCCCTGTATATCACAACGTCAAAAAAAAGGGTCATGTTTAAGATATCCATGTACCAATAAACATCGTCCTTTAAACTTGAAGTTTTAGCCGTAAAAAATTGAGGTATTTTTGCAAAAGCATGCAACTTCATGTTCTAGGTACTTTGTATCATTATGGCAAACAATTTTGTAAATATCGAGTTAGATATCAACTAACTTTAAATATATTTTCCAAGAGAATTTAACGAGTTCCAGTGAGAATAGCGAGATACCTCAAAAGTAAGAGTTTGGTGTGCAATCTCTTTTGAGAAAAAATACGGACGATTTTTCATTAATGAACCAACGATAACAGGAGTTGTATACACTGATATGTTGGGAACGATATCTATTTCCAGCAGAATATGGTGCCCACCTCATTATTTTTTAATAGCAAGGGTATCAGTAGATATGGCATTTGGAAAAAGATGGATAGGGAGAGGTGGTCCTATAAAATGGACACCTTTCTCTCCTGACTTGACAGTTCTAGACTATTTTCTCTAGAATTATGTCAAGGAGAGATCCTGTAACCATTTGCCGAATAGCCTGGAGGATCTTAAGTGGAACATTCGTAATGTCATTTATGCGATTCTTCAGGAAATGTTACACAGCTATTCACTGATCCATTGATGCGTGGAACATGATGGCTAACATACAGCATTTTTATAGTTTTATGCAATTTTTCTTTACTTTTTAGTAGGCAAACATTATTTCCAAGCATTGTAAATATGCTAATAAAAAATACCAGGATTTCGATTTTAATTTTTTACGGCTAAAACATCAAGTTACCTTAAAAATGACTCTTTTTTCGACGTTGTGATATACAGGGCGTTACATTAAAAATATCGCCCTGTATAAGAGGCAAAAAAATTTGCAAACTACTAAAAAAAATTTGGTCAAGAGAAATCGAATGGCGCAAGTCGCAGGTAATTAGCACATCTGGTTTAAAAGTTATAAGTATTTAAAATGGGTCACTCTCGGCTGGGACACCCTATACATATATTATGTGTGTATTATTTAATATAGTAAGTAAATAAATATTTAAATTATATAACTATCTAAAGAAACAATAATAATTGAGACGTACAAGTCAAATGACTTCAACCTTTGCCATGTAGGACAATTAACTCAAGCTGGCGAGTTTTTAATCATTAATTAACCTTCTGTTAAAAGCTTAAATTCAATTGTGCGAGGTGTAGGTGCGAAATTTTTAATTGTTCTTGGAGAAGATATCAAAAGCAATGACTGAAATGGGATGACTAGAAACTTCCAGATCCATTTTCCCAATTATTTCATCCTGTTGTGTGGACCAGGTAGTGGTACCATTTCTCATACATAGAAAATATTGATTTAATTTATTTTTTCTTGAGTTTTTGTGTATAATAATCTCAAACGCCAAAAGATTATTTGAATAAATAAAAAGAAAAAAATATATACCCATTGATTGCTTAACCAACCATAATGTCATTAAGGCTAAGTAAAAAATGATTTCTCATCATGCTCCATTTCATTTCACCCATTAAAGGCGAGTCTGCTTTTCCTTTTTCTTTTTATTTATAATCTCATCACCTACTTCTTTGGTTAATTAGTAATTGAAAGGTAATCGATTGTGAAATTAGAAGGACCTTTTTTGCTCAATTTAATTGAGTTATGAATGTTATTACCTACCTCAATTTTATCGCGGAATTTTTTATACCGAAACTGGCTTTTCCAGGTTAACCGGAACACAAACATTTTTGCAGCTTGAATTTTATCGAAACTCTATAGTATAAAAATGTCAAAATACTTATTTATTTTTAATTGTTATTATCTAAAAATTATCTTTTATCGGATTATGATAATGGTTTATATCTACTATGGGCCATCATTGGAAGCGATACAAAACTTATCTTTGAACAAGCATCAATGATCGAACCTCAGTAGCTCCTTTTTGAGTCCAACGCTGAGAGATAGAATTTGTTTTACAATGATTTTCTATGAGCCTCGCAAGTTAATAAAGTAATAGAAATAAACCTATGATAAATCGAAAGAGCATATTATATTATACCATAAGTAATTTGCTACTATACTTTGTCCAACCAACCTACGGAGTGAAAAACAACAAAACCTTCATGAAGGTTCGTTACTATTGGTCGTTTATCAGCCCGTTTCACGCCCATTTTATACTGTGGAATGACGTTTTGTAAGATTTTGAAATAAATGAATGGCATAAATCAGTGTTCAGTGTGTGTTCTTGTCTAAGGTGTGTTCAGTGTAAACTTGGCCGCCATTTTGACTCTATCATACTCCGTAGGTTTGTTGGTCAGAGTTTAGACTAAACCAATCTGAATCTATAAAATAGAGTATTCTAGAGTCTAGATTCAACACTGATCAGTAGAAGAAAAATTGAAAATAAATAATTGAAAGGAGCATAAAATCTAAACAATAGTATATTGCATGCGGAGGTGGAAAGTGTTTCATTATTGTCGAGAGATACTATGGTTGACCGAGGTGCGAAGCGCAGAGGTCAACCAATTCTCGAGACAATATGTGAAAACTTTCCACCGAAATATGAATACTATTTTATTTTGAACCATTGATTATTGAAATAAAATAAGGTAAAATAATTACAAAAATGGAATTTCCACTGACACTCTGACACCGACATTGACATCTTATGAAATTTCAACAATATAAACACATGTAACATCTACTTCTGAATACAAACATTGCACCTGGATTTGCATTTAGGTCGGAAAGAACAATTTATCAGGCCGAAAGTGAGTTCTCCAAGCCGAAAGTGACAGGAGAACTGGCACTTTCGGCCCGCTTCAAAGTAAACAAAAGTAAAGTGACATTTTCGAACCTTCAAATCAGTAAGGAATGTGAAAATTACATATATGGTTTAAAATAAAAAATCTTTACCTCTGGACAATAAACCAATTTCTTCTTAAATGCACTCTTGATCGTTGAAAAATCAAACTCCTCCTGCTTATCCACACTCAGTTCACTCTCCCCTTTACTCATCGGTGACTCTTTTTCACTATCACTAACACCATTACATCCTTCACTAATATTAAGCTTATACTCGATGTCGCTCACTTGAATTCTGGATTTTCTATCAGGAGTTTCACTAATTGGCGAGTTTGCGCAACTGTTGACTTCGGAAGTTGGTTCGCTTTTTCTGCCTGTTTGACTCAATTTGGAGCTTATAATTTTGCCGGTATTTTGAAAGTATTTTTTGCACCTATTCTTAGAGCTTTTGTACATTTCTTCAAAGTTCAAGCTCAATTTTTCCTTATCGTTGAAAGCTCCTACTCGTTGTTGAGCGGCTTGTTCTAAAATCATATTGGCCATTTTGCTTTTGAAATTATTCCAAGAGTCCATAGCTTTTTTGGGTTTTCTCAATAAAGTGGCCCTTCGAAGCCTTACAGGTAATTTGCTTCTAGTTTTACAATAATCCAGCTTCTCCAAGGAGTTTGACTCTTTATTCAATGCTAATTTTTGACGAGCCAATTGCACTTGACTGCAAGAAATATGCTCTATGCTTGAATGTGACTTTGCAATTTCGTTATGGTTCATATTTTCTGGATCGAAATCGCTCATGGATTGACTTAGACGGTGTTGAACTTTAAGGCTTCTAGGAACTTTGTAAAAATCTTCATCATCACTTCTATAAGCTAAATTTGGATCACTACCGCTTTTTATTAGAGCTACAGGAACTGTTTCAACAATTTCTGATTGAGTGTTGAAGGTTCCAGAATGGTGACTTTTTGGGGTACTAGCATCTTCTTTATTTATTTCTTCAAGTGCTTCTTCGATATCTTCTAATTTAAAGCTACTATCATTTTCTTCGTTATCGGTTTCAGGTTGCTTTAAAATTATTTGTATCTCACTCTTTTTTTTATGGTTTATCAAAACTGGCTCAATATTGTTTTCATAAATATTTTCTTCCTCCATAAGCTTCTTTTTTTCAATAAACTTAAAACTTATTCTAGGCACATCATACTCAAATTGACTATTATTTTTATCGATATTATTCTTTAGTAGTGGTTCTTCGTAAATTTCATTTTCACTGCTAGCACTATTCCTGTTAACTTTCTCACTATTTTTAATATCAGGAGTAGGGATTTTTTCACGTGCATCTTGAAATTGATCATCATTGTCACTAGATGAGGTACTTGAAGCACTTTCAACGTAAATACTGGTTGGCAGGCTTCTGCATTTATCAAATTCCAGCTGAGCTTCTTGAAAATCGTAAAATCCCGATGATCGTTTGGAGTTTTTATCAGAACTATCTTCACTTGGTGAAGATTTGACATTGGGTATAGTCACTCTCCACTCTTTTTTAACGATTTTGTTGCAAAATTTCTTCATTGTTGTTAGCACTACTTATAACGAGCTTCACATTATATTTAACCTAGAAAAATATGCTGTGTAGGTTCTATACACTATTAAAATTAACGACTGAACATGAACATCGACTGTGTATCGGTACAACGTATAAAAAAAAAAAGTTAAAAGTTCGATAAATAGAATGCATGGCAGTGAAACAAATAATATAATTGGTTCGTGATGGTTCGGTACCATTTTGTGGGATGGTACCCGGACTGGTTGAAAAGGAAATTTCTTGATATTGTGCTCAAATAAATTTTTTGGTTTTTTGAAAAAAGATGGTTTTGATATTAATTCTTAGTTTAAAGGGACTCTATTGGAACTGGCTTAAAATGACTCATTACTTGATGAAACTAGCAACTGTTAGAAAAATACAAGTAGTAAAGACCAAATCACATTTATGTCAGTTTAAGTAGTGTTAACTTAAGAAACTTGAAAAATATTATGAAATTCTCCCTCGTAACTCATCATAATTGTTGAAATTCCAGCTAAACAGGTAAATGAGTTTAAAATTGAAGGCCAACGAATTAAAGAGTAAAATTTATCAACTGGACGATAATGAACCTTGCCTGTAGACTATAGAATCATGATTTTACGTTTTATACTAAAATATATAAAAAAATACTGTCGCGATGCGCTTTTGCCATGGAGTATAGAATCTATCTTGAAATCTAGAGAATACTGCCCTATTCGGGCAAAGAGATAATCGCGTTTATTCTGCATTTTATAAGAATGTATTACGGATATATGAAGGCCGGTATTAGTAGTTTTAAGTTTAAAAGATTGACTGTGATACGTTTTAGATAGTGATTATTGTTAAGAGTTGTAGAGTTGAGTTGTTTGAGTTAATCAATGAAGTAATTAGTCAGAGTTTGTAGTAATGTGGAATAAATTAATGTCGTGTTAATTGGACTTTGATTTTGGAATAAACGTACCCCAGATTTCTGTTACGCACCACAAAGCCGTGACAATATTGTAACGACTGCCTGTGTGTCAAGAATCCTAGGCTGTCGAATACCCTAGAAATTACAGATTCCTATAATCTAGTAAATTCTACTTAATCGAGAAAAGGAGAGTATCGCGTGTATTCTAGATTGAACACGAATGGATTTACGGCTATATAAAGCAAGCTAATATTTAGAAGTTTTAAGTTTAAAGTTTGACTGAGATATGAGTTAGATAGTGATTATTGTTAAGAGTTTAGTTGTTGAGTTAGTAATTAGCGTTAGAGTGTATAGTTACGTGGAATAAAATTATTGCTGTGTTAATTGGACTTTGATTTTGGAATAAACGAACAACGAACCCAAGATTTCTGTCACGATACACAAAGCCGTGACATTGGTGTCAGAAGTGATACATAAAGGACTGCAAAGTGAAATCCAATTGCAGAATAGTGCGCGGACACTAGTGTAGTGTGAACACTGAACACTAAGTGAACACTAAGACAGTTAGTCAGTGCAAACAGTGACAATCACAAAAAGAGACTTAACCGATCGTGTAAATTACACCGGAAGTGACTGTATACCCGATTTTGACTGTGATAGTGAATCTTCGAGTGAGTTCTAGAAAATTCTATTTGGCAACCAAGGGAGATATCTGATTTCTGACTTCGCCGACGTATTCGGAACATCAATCGTCATTCAGAAAAAGTTTTTCGAGAAGTTTCGGGAAAATTCTAGAACATTCTATTTGAAAACTAAGGGAGATATCGAATTTGTGACTTCACCGACGTGTTTGGAACTTCAACAAAAGACCAGGGAAGATACTTGAAGAGAGTTTGAGGGAAATTCCAGAACATTCTGTATATGCCTATCACAAGACAACAAGCAAAAATGAATGAACAAAAAGTTGAAGAACTTCTGCGCAAAATGTTCGAACTTCAAGAGACCAAACGACAACAAGAAAAACAAGACGAAGAAGCTAAACGACAACAAGAAAAACAAGAAGAAGAGGCCAAGCGACAAAAAGAAAAACAGGAAGAAGAAGCTAGACGACAACAAGAAGAGGCTAGACGACAAGAAGAAAAACAAGATGAAGAACTCAGACGACAAAAAGAAAAACAAGAAGAAGAAGATAGGCGACAACAAGAACAGGCTAGGCGACAAGAAGAACGGTAAAAAGACCTTGGAAAACTGCAGAAAATATTTCAAACCATACAAGGAACTGTCGCTAACTTAGACCAGAATATTGTACAAGTTAAAGACGATGTGCAAGAAGTTCGAAACGACGTTCAGGAAGTAAAAGCTGAATTCAAAGCTGTTCAAGTTCAAGAAGTTAAAGGCGATGTTCGGCAATTAAGACAAGAAGTTGAGGATCAAGTTCAAGCAGTTCAAGCACTTGAAGATAAGGTGAATAAATTAGAAATGCAGTCCATCAATCCAGTTAGTGTTGAGGCATTCTCTAGTATGAAGATAAAACGGATGGAACGATCAAGAACAAGCTACAGCACTAATAGTGGCGCTACGAGGACTTGCCTTAGATCTTCTTCAGTCCATTCCATCAATCTACCAGCAGAATTACCAGCATCTAAGTCAGGCTCAAGTTAAATCAAGTATTCAAAAACCCGGCGAGAGTTTACAAGAATTCGAATCAGAAGTTGCAGGCTAGTGAGTTTGGCGTTTCTTGCAGCTGGGGACGATATACAGAAATAGATGGCAGTATCTACGTTTACTGATGGTCTCAGAGATTCAAAGATCCAGGAAAACATGAGAATGTGTAACTTCAGAAAAAGTAGCGATGTCCCTGTCCGAGCACTGGAACTGGAAGCAATCTTTGGTGCCTCATGACCCAGAATACGAGCAGTATCCATTGAAGACCCAAAGGATAAAATTGAAGACCCAAGGATGTCCTCTCCATGATCGTTCCCAACGCTTTTGGAGATCTAGAGACGCCAGCTCTAAACATCTACCTGGAAACCTGCATGAAAATGCTGACGCTTTGTCTAGACGACTATGGAAAGAAGACTGCAAGCTTCGTCAAAGAATCGATATGCCTGAAAAAAAGACTGGTCCCGCTGTGAAAAGAAGGGGTCTTATCGTTGATGATAAATGGACTACCAAACAAATAAAGAAAATCCAAAGGCAGATCAGAGGGGCATGTTTCATGAAAATGAAGAGTTGAGGAGTGAGGAGCAACATAATGTTACATTTCATTTTATAAAAGTTTTGAAGAGTTAGAGTTGAGGATTGAAGGGTTGAACAGTGACGAGCTGAGAAGTTGAATAATTTACGAAAGTTTTAATTTCATTTCATAAACATTCTTCACTACTCAACTCGTCAAGATTTACCTCATTTCTATTTCAAATACATTTAGTGCACACATCATATGTAATGCAAAATCTACTATTTAGCAGTGATTCTTCCTCCGATGAAGAAGATCTGCCGCAAAGAAAAAGAAAGTTACATAGGAAGAGACTGAGGTAAAACATTTGGCACAATATACCTACAAATTTGTTTAAAGCTACTGGTGATAAGAAAATAGACCTTCTGATACAAACACCAGATTCAGGATGTCTTGATTCTGAATACCAACTTGGAGCAAAGTACTAGAGAAGGAGAGTAGGTACCTAGTTTACGGGGGTTAAGGCTCAAAAGAGAGACGAGATAAAGATACACTTTCCCTACCACTCAAGATATAACCATCCCCTTGCCGCGCCCTCTATTTCCCTACCGGGTCACTCAAAATAACAACAGACAACCATCCCCCTACCCTGCCCTTTATCCCTTTATCGCGCTCTTAAAAAAATACTTCAAATATCCCACCACCTTCCACCGCAATTTTCCCTAAAGTATCCTTCTAGTTTCGATCTCAAGCCATCCCCCTTTCAAGTCAGGTGAAAACCAGCACGAAACCAACAAAAACCAGCTCGAAACCAGTGAAAACCTGCACGAAACCAGCACAAAGCCAGCGAAAAACTGTTGTTACGATAAATTTATCATTTACGTTACATGTTCCATCTCTTCTTATTTTCACTATAAAGTTGTATTTTTTCCATTTCAGAATCAGCAAAATAATAATTCCTAATAATCTAAAAATATCCACAAAGTTCAAAATAAAACCAGTGCTGCCATCTATCCATCGTGTGCGTAAAATGCAAATATCTTTTATTCATTTACCAGTGCTGCCGTCTAGTACTGGATGAGTTTTTTTTTTTTAATTGTGATAGTTTTCCTCGGCTATTTTAAAATTATTGTTTGTTGGATTTTGAGTGGTTTCATTTGCACATAAAGAGACTACACGTAATCTTAATTTTTCGAATTTCACGACCCTAGGTTATCTTATCTTGAAGTTCAAATAATCCATTCAATTTGTAACAAATTGGCGCCCAACGTGGGGCGCGTTGGATAAAAAATTTAAAAAAAAAAAAAAAGATAAACCAGCAAAATTGAGTCAGCACAAAACCAGCTCAAAACCAGCATAAAACATAAGGGGATGGTTGTTAAGCAAATTATGGAAGTGTCTCTCTCACTTCATTGGCTATTATTTTGTATCATATACTGGTCAACTCTTCATGAATAGCGAGGAGTGTAGACGCAAATTTATTTTGAAACAAAAACGACATTTACTTTTCACACCCCAACTCTTCACTCCTTCACTCGTTGCTCATCGCTTCATTTTTATGAAACAGGCCCCAGGACCTCGGGCAAATTATTCATCTTCAAGAAAATGATGAATATAGGCCAGAATGGAGGAGGGAGGTGTCGAACAAGAGTTTGATTTACAAAGCGTTGGGGACTCTGGCCGTAGAAAATGGTTTACTAAAAAAGTTTGGGAAAGTGCCGATTGGAAATCTACTAGTAGCCACCTGGTATTCCAAAAGATCGAGTAGAAGATGTTTTTAAAAAAATACATGACGGGACTTCATCAGGGGCACATTTTGGAGTTAACAAGACTTTGGACAAAATTCGGAATCGTTTTTACTGGGTTTATCAGTAAAGGCCCTAAACTAAGACCTCGGGGGCCCATGAAACGGTACAACGTCGGTCTACCATTTGAAAGAATAGCGATAGATGTTGCCGGACCGTTCCCTAAGTCAGAGCATGGTAACAAATACATCTTGGTTATCATGAATTACTTCAGTAAATGGCCAGAAGTTTTCGCTATTGTCAATCAAGAAGCTATCACCATTACCACTAGAGTTACATTCAGATCAGGGACGAAACTTCGAATCTGCCATCTTTAAGAAAATTTGTGAGATCATGGGCATTCGTAAGACAATGACCACACCTTTACATCCAATAACTTATTATATAAAGTCAGAATTTGTATGATTATTCACTTTTCGTCAATTCGCCTTTCAACGGGAATTACTAATGTTACTTTACCAAACTAGTAATATATTGTGACAAGTTATTCAAGTACAAATTAGTGAACTGTTGCGGTACTTATGGGTGGACCTCTGCGGAACTCGCTGCGCTTGTCCCGCAGCTTTCTATTCATTAATATGTTGTTTAATTACGATATTAACCTGACTCACTTAAATGTGAGTTATTCTCATTAGTTTAAAAATTACGTGTTTCAGATGAATGTCTTACTTAAACGGTTCAACAGTATATTGGTGAGTAGATGGCTGCGGAACTCGCTGCGCTCGTCCCGCAGAGGTCCACCCATAAGTTCTGCAATAATCCACTTATTTGTACTTGAACAATCACTTATTATATAAAGTCAAAATTTGTAAGATTATGATTATTCACTTTTTGTTAATTCGCCTTTCAACAGGAATTAGTAATGTTACTTTACCAAACTAGTAACACAATGTGACAAGTTATTCAAGTACAAACGAGTGGATTGTTGCGGAACTTATGGGTGGACCCAATCATCTATTCACCACTATGTTGTTCAAGTACAATACTAACCTGATTCACTTAGTTATGAATTTTTCTCATTAGTTCAAAAACTACACATTTTAGTTGAGTGTTTTTTTTTAACAGTTCAACAGTATATTGGTGAGTAGATGGCTGCGGAACTCGCTGCGCTCGTCCCGCAGAGGTTCACCCATAAGTTCCGCAATAATCCACTTATTTGTACAGGGTGTTTTTTATATATATTGACACTCCACCTACCTCCTTTACCTTTACAGGTAGAAAAAAGGTGTAAATACAAAAGTTGTACAGTTTTGAATGAATTTTTAGAAACCATGATCAGAAACATAATTTGAATGTCAGAAATGTGAAATTTTGCATGCTTCCAGCTTTTTTCAAATGGGATACACTTTATTTCATTCTATATTCTTGAAGAGCACAATGCTCTGATTCTAAAAATATATAGTTTGTCTATATTTGATTGAACAGTCTCTCATATATTCGGCTCCAAAAATTGTAAAAATACTATCCTACTACTGATTTTGTTAACCATTCTACCTCTACAGGTGAAAGCTGCAGGTGAAATTTGAGGTAGGTACCTACTTGGTTTCTCTGATAGTATTTTTAACATTTTTAGAAGCAAATATGTTGGAGCCGGCTCAACCAAATATAGACAAACCATATAGTTTTGGAATCGGAAAATTTTACTCTTCAAGAATATAGAATCAAATATAGGGCATTTCATAGGTAACGCATATTTGATAGGAATATCTCATGTGTCTTAATCTTAATAAACTATTTCTCATAAGTAGTATTGATGTTTGATTTTCTAATGCAAGTTTTCATAGTCTAATACACAGTCTAATGATTTAATGATTTGAAAAAAAGTATGTAGTTAAAATAATTATTTGAGTATACCCTAATGTTTTACCCCTCTAACAAGGCAACTTATCTGTCTACTAATTTCTACTGATATTTAGCTGGTAGGCTACTGACAAAACAAAATATGACCTGGCAACTCTGTATACAAACCCCTTTCAATTTTGAAAACGCCGTCTGGATTTTTTGGAGAGAAAAATAATTAATTAGCCAGTGCTTTCTCGAGTAAATAGACTTCATCCTTCAAATAACTATGATTCCGTAAAGGTGAAAGTAGATGCATAATCCCCTAATGTTATATTCGATATCTGGCAGTTGTTAACAAACTGAGAGTCTCTTATTAGGGTGTGGCGAATTTACCTGGATGTCGGTTATTAGATTTGTAATATTGTGTAAGAAATAAATGATCGTGTAAGTAGTGCATTATTGTTTATTAAGGTTGGGTAATGAATTATATAACAATATTATAATAATAATAAAAAATCCGTGATGAACTCAATTTTATTTGGAAAAGGTCACGGTAATTAAATGGTGGAAAAAAATCTAAGCGTTTTTGATCTGAGTTGACTCTCTGGTTAGCATAAGCTGGTGGGATTACTGATTAAATCTCAAAAATTCCTACCATACATAAATCAAACTTAATTAACTGCGTCATCGTTAATTTATTTTTTTTAAGCACGGTATTCATCAAACTAACGCCTATCTTATGTTTGTCAAGTGTAAACATTACGACCCAACTGTACAAGGTTGGTAGCATAAAAACCTTATATTATACCTACATACTTAATTATTTATCGAAGGAATTTAAATTATGTTTTTCAAAATGCAATTACCAATTTTTTAGAGGGAATTTCAAATAGAGTTAAAGTGCACTTCATCGCAGGCAATTAGCTGGAAATGAATGTGAGGGTAACAAAAGTGATGTCAAATAACACCGAAGAAAAGTCAAAATTGAAAATATCTTTTTGGAAAATTGAGTAATTACATCTACCATCTACCTAGTGCAGATACCGAAACTTGCAATCAAATAGTGATGGATATTACTTGATATTACACAAAGAACTAATCTTGCATGGGCAGATTTTGGCAAGCTTTCCATGGATCTTAAAAGAACCAAAGCAAAAGAGATTCCACTTGACTGAACCTTTCAACAACCCTTTATTAATACAGACAGGATATTGCCTGTATTACAATGCATTGGTAACATTATACTAAATGGAGGTTATTCTGGATTATGTAGGTACTCTGAAATATTTTTGGTCTAACAAACTGCACCCTAAGCAAAGTCTCTTTGATCGTGATTTGCACTCATTTCCAGGATTTAGGTGTCAAAATGGAATGTTCATGGAACCATGAAAATATAATCTAAGGTTCTGCATTTAACAGAACCAAAGACATATCATGCAACCATCAACTTTTATCAATAATTACCAGATTTTCAATTAATATTATGTTGGATACTGTGGCAACGGCCCACCCACTGCTCTTCAACAAATAATTAATAATTTTAACAAACGATGAAATATTGCATAACACTTACAGCTTTTATTTCTTTTACACAATAAGTGGATTAGGTACCTATATTATGTATTATGTCTACAAGTAGGTAAATAGGTCTAATCAATGATAGGACGTAATTAATCCTTGGATAATCGTATTTTTATTAAAAGGTATTAAAGGTATATACTTCAAATGTCAATGATCTTTTCGTATAGGTCAGGAATTAATTGTTTTTTTTTTTTAAATACATAGATATAATTAATTTTTAGAAATAGGAATTTCTTGTTTAGTAAATTAGTATTTTCTAGAATATACCTATTCCATAGTTGAAAATAAACCAATGTTATATTATTTGTTTCAGAATTTTGTTTAAATTACGCTTCCAATAAAACATGTGTATCAGCGCAGCGCTGATGGATATTTTTAGGTAACTAAACCAAAATAACTATTTGAACATTTTCCAAATAAATATAGAACCGATACACACCGAGTTATTTATTAATTGGAATCTCTAATATTGATTTGACTTGTAAATTCTAAAACCCTAGTCTTGCCAAAATTTTGAAAAATTTTGGTTTGTTTATTCAAAGCAAATAAGATTTTGAATGAGAACATTTGTTTAATTTTTCAATCTTATTGTTCAATGAAATTGTATTTAAACTTTGGCCATTAAATTTACACATTAAAGGACTCAAACTCTATCAAAATGCGTTTTTTCTTTAATTTTTGAGATTACATACTAATTAAATCCACTTTTCACATTGCTAGAAAACTTGACACTATTTCACAAAACACAATTTTTTTTCGTCACCACTTTTCGCGTTCACTTTCAATTATTGGTAGGTACCTTAAAATTGGTACTGCAGGCCAACGCAGTGTCGCCAGAATCTGAAAATTCGGTACGATACGTAGTGGAGTGCCGACGACGACGCTATAATTATCACATGTGGGACTCCTCCTTTGCTAATAACACTACACTATTTAGATATAGAGTAAAGCTGGGTGTCGGACGGAATGCACTGAAACCTGAATTTATTATTGTGGTTTTACGGCAGCTGGAAATTTCATAGGATTGGGGGTTTTGAAATGACAGGTGCCCAAGTATTTGATTTTGGGTAGGTACTTGCCTCTATGGTCTGATTTGTTGGCGAAAATCATCAGCTGGAGGTGAGGTAGCTATGTTTGAAAAAGGGGTAGTTTGTTTGAAGGTAGTGGAAGAATATTGAAACTAGTAATTCTGATTATTCCATCATTTCTGTGCTTTTATTTGTTAGTGCACCTACGTTACATTATGGTATATGCATTGTTTTATAACAGTCCTTCTCATAAGGTTTCTACGGTTGGATTCACCCAGCGTCACGCCTGGATTGGTTTTTGAAATGGTGGGATTTTTCCATGCTATCTTTTGTGAAATTTTGATTTTTTCATAATTTATATTTTTCTTGATAACATTTCGTTAATTTTTTGAACTCTTTAATCGCATTAAGGTACCTACGTATTACCTATATAAAATAATTAGCAGGGACGTTTTAAACTTGTTCGTGTAAGTTGTCCTGTTCCTTTCAGACCACTGGAACAGTGAAAACCTATATATTTACGTTTTTAATAATAAATAAACACCTTCAAGTGGAACATCTTTTATGTTTAGGGTAGGTGAGTCGATAAAATTCAAGCCAATTAGAGAGATCCTATAATTATTCATGAAGCATTTTTCAGCTTTATTATTACAATTTTGAATTATTAAATATTTTATATTTTTTGTCACTAAAATAGAAAATAGCACCAAAGTGCTTAGCTTTTAGAGTACCTAAAATAGCTATTAAAATTAATTATACCACTTTTCCAAGTTATCTGCTTAAAACTTTTTTTTAAATAGTTTTTTTTGAAGTAGGTTAACTAACCGAATGAGCTTCTTGAATAACTATAAAACTAAGTGGAATAATTATTAAGTACCTAGTCAGGCCTACCAGTATTTTTGGATATTTTCATTTTGAAATCAGAACTTGATAAGACTGATGAGTAAGTTCTTAGCTTATAATATACAGGGTGATAGGATGTTATATTTATTTCCCAAATAACCATCAATAAATATAGGATAGTGGAATTTGTATTTTTGTATTTTCGGAAACACTCGCAATATTCGCTTTGTTTTGGTACCTACCTTATACATCAACCAATTTTTCGGAAATACAAATTTTTGATATTTTCTGAAAACACGAATTTGTATAATAGTAGGCATCAACGATAGAAGGTAAAATTTTCCGTATCCTGTTTCCCAAAGCTTGGTCGAATTTGTTGCCAACTGCACATGCAGTATTTCCGATATATCTAAGTATGTTTGTGTATTTTCTTTGCATTTTCCGAAAATACAAGTATCCAGGGGCGTCGCCTCGGGGGAGGGGGGGAGTAATGGGGGTAATTACCCCCCCCCCCCAGGATCGAATTATCAAGAGAAAAATCATCAGGATGCCCAAAAGAAAATACATAATATATTGAAGAAAATACATTTTTGTTTTGTTTTATTTTTCTCATATACACGCCTGGCAAGTAAACATCTTGCATGCCAATTTTAATGCGATAGAATGAATGTCTAGAGAAAGTCTAAGGTTGAATAGAGAACGAAAACGATTTCCCCTGTTCCACCTCTCGCATTCCCAGCGCTTTTTGCTGGAGGTGGAACAGGGGAAATCGTTCTCAAAAATTTCATGAGCGAAATTGCCAGCAACAAACTTGAATAAAACCAAGAGAATAATTTTGCCTACATAATTTTTTCTTGAGTGATATTCGGCTGGACTATTTCACGAGAGAAACAAGCCAAATTTTAATTTGAAAAATTTATTCTCTTTATTAGGTCACAAATGTCAAACTCAATAGTTTCTTACATTAACCCATTAACCACACAAAATTTTGTCGCTAAAAAACCATCATGTTGGTTTTGTCCAGGTAGAAACAGGTATTAGTTTTGTCAGTAGGAAACCGGCCGTTCCTATGACATTTTGCCAGTGTAAAACACTCTAGTGAAATAGTCACAAGGAAATAATTGTTGTGGAAAATTTAATGACCTTGAAAAAATTCCGCCTGCGGCGCGTTTTCGGAGGGCGCCGCTTCAACCCCCCGGTAGCATTTACCCCCCCCCCCCACCCCAGACTACTGGTCACACGTTGCCACTGCAAGTATCTGGCATTCTATTCCGTATTTTCCGGTGTTACTTGACCTAATTTCAATGGTTTGGTCGCGAGTTTCCCAACTGTATTTGTGATATTTTCAATCAATGTATTTCCGTCATTTCTTTGTTCAGGGTATCATCATCACCCAGCCAGACATACGCTTCCAGATATTTCCACATATCTGTTTGTTTTGATCAGTTGCAACGCAGCTTGTATTTATTATTTCCAGATCAGCCGTCCATCTCGTGGGAGTTCTTCCTCGGTTTCATTTGTCGAATCTCGATCTCCACTCTAAAACTTTTTTTGTTCAAAATTTGAACTATTACCGGCTCTTGATTCTTCGGAAAACATTCCTAGAGCCAATCAAGAGCCGGTAATAGTTAAAATTTGAACTTTTATCAACTCTGGATTCCCTAGAGAATTTTTCTAATGGCATTCAAAGCTCAATAGCCAATAATAATCAAAATTTCGAATGATCATCAGAAGCTTTCAAGTTGATATTAATCAACATTTCTTCTTCCGCAGCTTGCAATTGGTTCAAGAAAGATTATCCATTGGATCAAGAGCCACAGATAATCAAAATCTGAACTATTACCAGCTCTTGATTCTTCGGAAAACCTTCCTAGAGCCAATCAAGAGCCGGTAATAGTTAAAATTTGAACTTTTATCAACTCTGAATTCCCTAGAGAATTTTTCTAATGGCATTCAAAGCTCAAGAGCCAATAATAATCAAAATTTCGAATGATCATCAGAAGCTTTCAAGTTGATATTTATCAACATTTCTTCTTCCGCTTGAAATTGGTTCAAGAAAGATTATCCAATGGATCAAGAGCCACAGATAATCAAAATCTGAACTATTACCAGCTCTTGATTTTTTGGAAAACCTTTCTAGAGCCAATCAAGAGCCGGTGATAGTCAAAATTTGAACTTTTATCAACTCTGGATTCCCTAGAGAACTTTTCTAAGGGCATTCAAAGCTCAAGAGCCGATAATAATCAAAATTTCGAATGATCATCAAAAGCTTTCAAGTTGATATTAATCAAAATTTCTTCTTCCGCAGCTTGCAATTGGTTCAAGAAAGATTATCCAATGGATCAAGAGCCACAGATAATCAAATTTTGAACTATTACCGGTTCTTTATTCTCTGGAAAACTTTCCTAGAGCCAATCAAGAGCCGGTAATTGTCAAAATTTGAACTTTTATCAACTCTGGATTCCCTAGAGAAATTTTCCAAAGGGCATTCAAAGCTCAAGAGCCGATAATAATCAAAATTTCGAATGATCATCAGAAGCTTTCAAGTTGATAATAATCAAAATTTCTTCTTCCGCAGCTTCCAATTGGTTCGAAAAAGATTATCTAATGGATCAAGAGCTACAGATAATCAAATTTTGAACTATTACCGGCTCTTGATTCTCTGGAAAACCTTCCTAGAGCCAATCAAGAGCCGGTAATAGTTAAAATTTGAACTTTTATCAACTCTGGATTGGCTAGAGAATTTTTCTAAGGGCATTCAAAGCCCAAGAGCCCATAATGATCAAAATTTCGAATGATCATTGGAAGCTTTCAAGTTGATATTAATCAAAATTTCTTCTTTTGCAGCTTCCAATTGGCTCAAGAAAGATTATCCAATGAATCAAGAGCCACAGATAATCAAATTTTGAACTATTACCGCCTCTTGATTCTCTGGAAAACTTTCCTAGAGCCAATCAAGAGCCGGTAATAGTCAAAATTTGATTTTTTATCAACTCTGGATTCCCTAGAGAATTTTTCTAAGGGCATTCAAAGCTCAAGAGCCAATAATAATCAAAATATCGAATGATCATTAGAAGCTTTCAAGTTGATATTAATCAAAATTTCTTCTTTTGCAGCTTCCAATTGGCTCAAGAAAGATTATCCAATGAATCAAGAGCCACAGATAATCAAATTTTGAACTATTGCCGGCTCTTGATTCTCTGGAAAACTTTCCTAGAGCCAATCAAGAGCCGGTGATAGTCAAAATTTGAACTTTTATCAACTCTGGATTCCCTAGAGAACTTTTCTAAGGGCATTCAAAGCTCAAGAGCCGATAATAATCAAAATTTCGAATGATCATCAAAAGCTTTCAAGTTGATATTAATCAAAATTTCTTCTTCCGCAGCTTGCAATTGGTTCAAGAAAGATTATCCAATGGATCAAGAGCCACAGATAATCAAATTTTGAACTATTACCGGCTCTTTATTCTCTGGAAAACTTTCCTAGAGCCAATCAAGAGCCGGTAATTGTCAAAATTTGAACTTTTATCAACTCTGGATTCCCTAGAGAAATTTTCCAAAGGGCATTCAAAGCTCAAGAGCCGATAATAATCAAAATTTCGAATGATCATCAGAAGCTTTCAAGTTGATAATAATCAAAATTTCTTCTTCCGCAGCTTCCAATTGGTTCAAAAAAGATTATCTAATGGATCAAGAGCTACAGATAATCAAATTTTGAACTATTACCGGCTCTTGATTCTCTGGAAAACCTTCCTAGAGCCAATCAAGAGCCGGTAATAGTTAAAATTTGAACTTTTATCAACTCTGGATTGGCTAGAGAATTTTTCTAAGGGCATTCAAAGCCCAAGAGCCCATAATGATCAAAATTTCGAATGATCATTGGAAGCTTTCAAGTTGATATTAATCAAAATTTCTTCTTTTGCAGCTTCCAATTGGCTCAAGAAAGATTATCCAATGAATCAAGAGCCACAGATAATCAAATTTTGAACTATTACCGCCTCTTGATTCTCTGGAAAACTTTCCTAGAGCCAATCAAGAGCCGGTAATAGTCAAAATTTGATTTTTTATCAACTCTGGATTCCCTAGAGAATTTTTCTAAGGGCATTCAAAGCTCAAGAGCCAATAATAATCAAAATATCGAATGATCATTAGAAGCTTTCAAGTTGATATTAATCAAAATTTCTTCTTTTGCAGCTTCCAATTGGCTCAAGAAAGATTATCCAATGAATCAAGAGCCACAGATAATCAAATTTTGAACTATTGCCGGCTCTTGATTCTCTGGAAAACTTTCCTAGAGCCAATCAAGAGCCGGTGATAGTCAAAATTTGAACTTTTATCAACTCTGGATTCCCTAGAGAACTTTTCTAAGGGC